CTTCCTTCCTTCCTTCCTTCCTTCCTTCCTTCCTTCCTTCCTTCCTATCTTCCTTCCTTCCTTCCTTCCTTCCTTCCTTCCTTTCTTTCTTTCTGCAGTGCTGGGGATCAAACCCAGGGCCTCCCCTGTGCTAGGCCAGTGTTCTGCCACTGAACTACATTCCTGGCCCCAAGATAGCTTTTTGAGTATATAAAGTTTAATAAAGTATATAACCAAGATTTGTCTTAAAATAACGCACCCCCATAAAACCTCACCCTCTCAAAACCACAAGAACAATAAGAGTTGAAAATACAGGCTTACTTTAATTTTCAGTGGAAATGTAAGAAGCATAAAACTATTTTATGTATCTTTGAAATGTTTACATGTCATTTGTCCCTTTGATGTTATGGAGGGGGATTGGTATAGAGTTCTATAAAATGGTAGAGATAACGACCACTTTGTTCAAAGGGGAAAACCAAGATTCAAGTGGATGAAGCAATTTCTCCCAATGTAACTACACACCAATTCACCCTACCAAGAGGTCCAATAGTTTGACCTCTGATACTTTTGGATATTTTAAGAGTTGTATTTTTTGTTTTTACAAATTCTGTCAGTGCTCACCTATTTCCAATCCCACTCTGCTGCTATTGCCACTGCTCTGATACTCCAGACCTGAATACATTCTCAGAGAACATCTAGGTGCTAAAAACTTGTCATGTGACTCATGAGCCAGCTGAAATCCATAGCTACCTGTTTTTGCATAGCTGCATTTATTAGCTAAAGTTTGTTGTTTGTATCAATCATCTTGAAATATTTGTTCCAATAATGGCTGGAGTGTCCACATTCCAGCCCCTTTTTTTGCCCCATCACAATTAATTACTAAGACAGCAGTGCCTGGGGTAAAGTTGGAACTTAGACGGACACATGTTACCACTGGACCTAATCATTTGATGCAAGTTTTTGTCAATGGAATTGGGGAAAAGATTGGACACTGAATTCCCCAAATATTGGCTTCATGAATCACCCTCAGAGCATTGCCCTGCCTCTAACATCAGAGGCTCTGTGACCTCTCAAAACCCATAGACCAGGTGGTTGATAGGACAGGAAATCAATGAATCTTGCTATAAACACATTCTACATCTTCTCTGGTCAGCATAGGAGTTGGTTTGGGATAAGTGGAAAGGCTCTTTTGACAGCATGGAGGTACATCCAGAAGAATTATCATTTGCCAAGTGATTAGAATAAACCTTGTTTCTAGTTGGTATCTGTTTATTTCCAGAAGAAGCAGTTTTCCCTCTCTTTCAAGTGGTCCCAGGAAGAAAAGAATGACTTGTCTTGAATTTTATGGAATCTTCCCATTAGAAACTTTACGTATTATCAGATCCGGTTTTCAGAATATGCCTCCCATCCTAGAGCACTTTTCATAAAAAATATAATAATAATAATTCACAGTTAGGAAATTACAGCCTAAGGCTGAGGGTTTGCCCAGTGGCTGACACTCAGCTCTGACCTTTTCTTCCTTTGTGATTTGGGTGGTGTGACCTCCAGCCAAAAATTGTGAGCTGTAGAGTCTACAGTGCAAACTAAATCCCACTTCACCATCCATCTTCCAAGTCCTAGTTGTCTGTTTCAATTTAACCCCATTGTATGCATTTACTCATACAACAAATATTTGATCACTCAATAAGCGTCTACTACAATGGTGCTGATAGTTACTGTGAAGGTAGAACAGGGCAAAAGTAAACAATGGTTGCCTCCCCAGAGTCCAGTTGGAAAGAGAATTATGAACAAAATAATAAACAGCAATATGGAAGGGGCTAGATGTGAGACTCTCACCCAGTGTGGCAGGACCTTAGGAAAAGTAATTCTTACATGGCTAGGAAAGCCTTCTGTGAGGAGGGGACAGGATTGCAATTGATTTTTCAAAGAGGAATTTGTCCAAAAAAAATTAAGGAGGAACATTTCCAGCAGGTGGAAGATAAGACCTGTACAGAGGCCGGTACAGAGGTCTCTGGAAAAGCTTAGGAAGGCCGGGGTGGGGGGGAAGCCAGTGGTTCAGGATGGCCATCTTATAGGAGAAGACCAGGAGAATAAATGCAGAAGAATCTGGAAAAGGTGATAGAGGTGGAAGAAGAGGCCCTTCAAGGGCTGGGGATGTGGCTCAAGTGGTAGCGCGCTCGCCTGGCATGCGCGAAGCACTGGGTTCGATCCTTAGCACCACATAAAAATAAAAGATATTGTGTCCATCTAAAACTAAAAAATAAGTATTAAGAAAAAGGCTCTTCAATTAATCCAGTTGTGAATGCTATAAATCAAATATAACCCCTTCTAAAACCCAAAGCACTACTGTTACCCTAATGCAGGTATTATACTGAGACCCAAAAGCAAGATGCCGAAGGAAAAGCTTTGGTGTATGCCATACTGGAGTGTTTTTCTGAGCCCTCAAAAACTTAATGTATTATGCTTGGGGTTGTAGCAAATTATTTACTCTCTCTAAACCTCAGGTTCATTATCTGTAAAACAGAGATAAAAATGGAACCTACTTTTTTTTTTTTTTTTGGTTCCAGGGATTATACCCAGGGGTGCTTAACCACTGAGCCACATCACCTCTCATTTTTATTTTTTTTTATTCTGATACAGGGTCTCGCTAAGTTGCTGACACTGGCTTCGAATTCATAATCCTCCTGCCTCAGCCTCCCCTCAGCTGCTGGGATTATAGGCCTGTGCCACCATGCCCGGCTAGAACCTACTTCTTATGTAAGAATAATAACGTTTCCCTGGTCAGCACTGGTAGAGAAACCCAGGGTCAGGTAGAGCAGTTGAGGTTAGGTGACCCTATCACTTAGTTTCTGAGAACAGTCCTGGTGGGATTTGCAGCTCTGACCCCATCTCTCAGCCAAATTTGCAATGTCAGGAGGACAAGTCTGGCAAGCTCACTCTGTCCTCAGATTTCTTACCCCGTGGGGATCAAGGAGGAGGAGCCCAAGCTTTGGATTATGAAGACATTCTTGCATCTCCCTGTGTAAAATGATAATGCCAAAGATCCTGGCAGCAGGCAAGGGACTACGGACCCCATCCAAGGCTCCTTGTCCCCACATGAAGACTAGGTGTCTGCTGATATTAGACCCTGGGGACTGTCTTAAAAGTCCTTGAATCTTTATTGTGATTGCCTTTGCTTAACAGCTATGTTGTACAAGTGAGTATGGTGTGATTTCTGCCTCCTGGGAGTGATTGACTTGAAAAAAAAAGTCTTAATACACTGTGCTTTTTTTTTTTTTTTTTTAAAGAACAATTTTAGGTTCACAGCAAAACTGAGTGGCAAGTACAGAGATAGCCCATATCCCTCCTCACCCACTTATAGCCTCCCCCACCATCAACCTCCTGCATCAGAGTGGTATATTTGTCATCATCAACCCACACTGGCATATCCTATCACCCCAAGTCCATGCTTCACATTATTGTTCACACTTGGTTATATACATTTCTTGAGAGTTGTGATTTTTTACACCAGCAAATGTCCCCGGGGAAAGCACATCCACATGATTTGAGGCAAAGCTAGCAATGCTAATCTATTTTCAAATGAATGTGTTCTTTGGAGAAGTGTGTTTAAGATTGGGTACACATATAAAAGAAAGAAGTTGAGTCTTGGAGGGAGGAAAGAAAGAGAGAGAAAAGAAAGGACCATCCACTCACCCAGGCAACTCCACCCCCAGTCTCTGAAGTCTTTAAAGGTGAAAGTTAGTGATAGTTTCTGCATAAAATGTCCAGATTCTTCTTCTGTTCCCTAAATCTGCTTCTACCACCTGTGTATCTGTCTCTGGGCCTTCCTCTTCCTGGAGAGATGGGATGCTACCTTTGAATCTTTTCCTTATAGCTTTTCTCCTGCATGTCTTCCAGGGATTCCCCCCCACGCAAACTGCAATAGAGGGAAAATAGAGGACTGGGGCTCTTCTGGAGAAACTGGTTTTTTTTTTTTTTTTTTTTTTGTTGTTGTTGTTGTTTTGTTTTTCTCTAGCAACTAAGATACATTATTTTAATTGCTGTTGTAAAGTTCTTGTAAGGAATTCTAAGTCACCCTCCTACTTTGACAGATGAAGCCTTCTGGGAAGTTGGCAGTCCTGAGAGCCCAGGGCAATGCTGAAATGCCCTTCCAAACAAGGACCCAAACAGCTGAAGGGCTCCAGTTACCCAAGAGGTGAGTGACATGGACACTTCTTTGGCCAGTTGGAGAAGGGGAAGGAGTGGGGTGAGGGAGGTGGAGAAGGGAAGGACAGAGGAGAAAGGACAGGATGGAGACGTGACAGGAGGGTTGAGGAGTGATGAGCCAGCAGCCTGGTGACAGGGAGTAGAACTGTCTCTGACCATACCCTGCTGTACTCTGGGGAGACAGGGTGGCTCCCTACTTTGAACCTCAGAGTGATATACCCACCAAAATTTGCCCACCTCTGATGAAAAGTAACTGTTGTCAATGAAGATAGCCACTTGTGTACTATAAGTGGAGTTTGTCCTACATTTTTGATTTGGGACTTAAGTATTATTAAGTTTATGAATTAAAAAAAAAAATTCATGCCCATTGTTTTTATTTTATCTTGTTTTTGCTCATCTGAAATTTGCATATTTTTCTAAAATGACTATGGATTGACTTGGCAATAACAAAAATAAATAATTTTGATCACAAAAAAATGAATCAGCTTAAAAAATTGTGAAAACAATTTTTAAAATATTTATAGAGTATATTATAGAAGACCAAATACCTAATTGTTAACCTTGGATAATTTAAAGGGTTGGGGATGGAATTAGAAAGACAGACAGACAGAAGATTATCAACTTTTTAAACTATCTCTTTATTGCTTGACTTGTTAAAATGATTGTTTATTATTTTTGTCATTCTTAAAGTAAATTTAAGAAACAATCAAAAAGTAAATCATCATCTTCTACCATTTGTTTTTTAAAAGCAAAGCTACTTCATTAAGTGAAACGCTTTTTAAAATTTATTTTTTAAATACACGACAACAGTGGAATGCATTACCATCCTTATTACACATACAACACAATTTTTCGTATCTCTGTATAAAGTATGTTCACACCAAATTATGCCATTATACATGTACTCTTTTTTTTGCATTACAACTCTTTTTTTATATTTTTTTTAGTTGTATTTGGACACAATACCTTTATTTCATTTATTTATTTTTACGTGGTGCTGAGGATCGAACCCAGGGTCTTGCACGTACGAGGAAAGTGCTCTACTGCTGAGCCACAACCCCAGCCCCATTACAACTCTTAATGCACATATATACCATAATTTTTCATATCTCTGTTTGTATATAAGGCATGTTGACACCAAATTCAAATAAGTGAAACACTTTTAACTCACTATTTTTTAACTGTATACATTTTTTAAGTTGAAGTTTATTTCTTCAGCAGATCTTCTCTGCCAATTTTATGTGTGTCACCTTATATGACAGAAGGTGACTTTGGGGTTTGTTCCCCAGAATGAAAAACATAGGCCTTTCTGTCACAAATGACTATTTCCACCCAATAAATTTATAAACACACATCTTATGTAGAACTTTAATAGCTTAAATAATTTGTTTGTCAACTATGAATTCTTAAGCTGACAGAAAAGTTTTGGAAAACAATTTTTTTAAATTTTGAGACAGAGTCTCATTAAGTTGCCTTGAACTTATGTGATCCTCCAGCCTCAGTTCCCAAGTCACTAGGATTATGAGCATGTGCTACCATGCCCAGTCTAGAGAATAATTTAATAAATATCCATTACCATCTAAGTTTAACAGTCATTTTGTTTTCATAGTTCCTTCAGCTGTTTAAAAATTATTGCAAATAATTGCCTTCATCCTAGTGGTAACCGTTATCCTGAAGTTGGTGAGTATCTTCCTGGTCCAGTGTTTTGTGGTTTTCCAATTAACTCTTATCTTTTTTGAGATACACATAGCTCTAATTCCTTTGTTTTCATTGCTGCATAGCATTCCATTATTTAAGACAATTCTAATTTTTCTCTATTGTGAAAGTTGTTGCTGCATTGAACATCCAAATTCATGTCTTTTTGTGCACTTGAATAAGAATCCATCCAAAGGATTTTCCTAGGAGTGGGATTACTGAGTCCACTGGAAAACCTCTTAAAAATAGAATGAAAGAGAAAGAGAGAAATGGACAAAGTCTTAGGTTTTGTCCCAGGATTCCAGGTCATCTCTCTTTACTGGATGATGGGTTCTCCAATTCCTTTCAACACTTTTTTTTTTTAATCCCAAATTTGAAAAATTGGAAACCTCTTCATCAAAACCCTGATTATTAAGATTTGTTGGTCAAAAATCTAAAAACTGACTCATCCTGAAACAGAACTGAAGGGGAGACTGGTGAATAAGTCATTTTTCCCCCTCTCCTTTCAGAATATCACACATCAACTCAGAACATATTAAACAAGATGGCAAGATTAATGAGCTTATTCAAAAAAGAAAATAAGTCTTGGTAAGTAGAATGATAAATTAAAAATCCTGAATCTTTATGAACCCAAAAGGCTCAAAGATGGCATCTAATCTAAGCTGCATCTCTGGGATATTACTTTATGAGCTTGCTGTCATCATATTTTTTCTTCCTTCTAAATCAATTTCAGCATGTCTGCATCAGCAGACTTCAGATGATGTATAGGCAACTTCATTTTAATCGTTTGTTGCTACAGGGTGACCCGTGGCCTTTCCAAAAGAGGTAAAATAAATCTTCCCATTGTTAACTCCTCCTACCTCATCATCAACCCATATTCATTTGAATGCCACCAAGGACTGACAGACTCCAGGAGGGTCAGTTGCTGTCCAGTACCTGTGGTCACCTATAGTTTCTTCAGCCCCTTCTGTGGGGAACTCCTGGTAAAAGTCTACAACCTGCCTAGACTTTCCAAGGCTTCCCAGTGCTCCCAATACTGCAGTCCCCTACCCCCGTGTCCCAAAATGTTATTTATGCGTAAGCTGTGACATGCAACCAAATTAAGATGGCCTCCTGCTCAGTCCATTGCATTTTAATAGTTATTAATTTTACAGTGTGTTTTGCAGCTTTTACTGCCAGCGATATTGCTTAAATACTATTAAGTTAAAAAAAATCATTCTTTTAAAAAATTAGTATGTAGAGGTGCATATGGCTATGGTAAATACAACAATCAAAGACAATAACTAGATTCAGGAGAAATTGCCTAAAACAAATTGTGGTCTGCCTTAGAGTGCTATAAATCCCTGAATTTATGTGAGCGTTACACATAGGAAATGTCACTTGAGGCACATTCTTTCTGCTCTCAGTTCACCTACCTAGAAAGCCCAATGGTTAAACCAGATCAAGGATTTTCAGCCCTGTTTTCATTTTTGAATCACCAAGACAGGCGTAAAAAATAATGATACCTGGGATCTTCTCTCACTAAACTAATTCTAAAGTTATAAGATAATTGATCTTCTGATTTCATGAATAGACTATAAATACAGAGTAAATACAGATCCTGTAATGATGGAGGAGGCTCCTTGTTCTTTTTAGAAGCAACTGTGATTTTCACCCACTTTCCAGTCCCGAGTCAACACAGGCCTGGAAGCTCCCTCCGCTGTGTTTGGGTTGTACCAGTTCCTACCACAGTGCTTGATATACAGTAGATGCTCAATGAATACTGGATGAAAGGATGACAGAGTGAAGTTCCACAACCTGGTTTTAAGCAGGGCATCTAGGATTAATCAAGTTGTCAGAAATTGGGCCATAGTAGAACTCTTCAGGGTCCAAGAAGTAGAGCCAATCTATTCCAGAGTATTCTCTCCCTGGTAAATTAGACCTGAGTATCATTTGGTGCATTACTCAGCTTTCTGTTACTGTAACGAATACCCAAGATAATCACCTTATTTAGGCTCACAGTTTTGGAGCTTTTAATCTGTGGTAGGGAAGGTCCATTGCTTTAGGCCTCTGGCAGTGGGGAGGGGGCAGCATGTCATGGTGGGAGTGTATGGCAAAGCAAAACTGCTCACCTCCTGGCCAAGATGGGAAAGAGAGTAGAAGAAGAAGGTATAGGAGTCCCACTGTCCCCTTCAAGGTCATACCCCCAGTATGGAAGACCTCCCCTTAGGCCTCACCGCATAAAGCTTCCACTGCCTCCTAACAGCAGCACAGGCTGGAGAAGAGCCTTGGGCGGTCATTTCACATCCAAACCTAGCACTCTTTGAGCATAGGACAAATGTTGGATGTTCTTATGTTCTATTTCCATCCAACTCTGAAGGCTTGACTTCCTTTAAGACCATTTTTATGTAAAGGGTCAGGGTCATTCATCCAGAATGCCTGTTAGGCCTCCTGGCAACACACTGATAGATTTTCATTTTCCAACATTCCCTTTCCAAATATTCATGCGACCACCACCCTGTCGTTTACTCTCCTGGTTACTACAACAAACGGTTTCCTAAGTGTTAGATTGTTTTGCTGCTTGCTAATGACATACCAGGGAGAAGCACATTAATCTCCTCAGTAAGGTCACTCCAAATCACTCTGCAAGATGGGTTACTTCTGGAAAGCTGTGCCCTAGACAGCTAATCCCATCTTTCTTACAGGCTTGACTTACGGAGATGGCATCTGCTGACCTTATGTTTTTGAGAGCCATCTTATTTTGAGGACTGCTGTGTTCTGCTCACCATCTACAATTACTATGACTAAAAATACTTTGGAGGGTAGAGAGTCTTCAAGGGGACTTTGAGACCTGGACTGTGTTCCTCCTATTTTGATGTCATATTTCAAAGTAATGGCCCTGTTTCTGTGTTAAACTGCTGATTACCTGCCAGACCGACATTGTACTTCACATTTGATTGGAAGTCAGTCTTTATGCTGAACCTTGTGATTATGTTGCCCTTTTCCCAAAAATGTGGCCAATAGTGATTTTCCTGATAGCACCATCACCTCTTAGCCACATTCTCTGTGCATCATGCCGAGGCTACATTTTCCCCGTGGAAATGTAAGCCTCTATCCCTGTGTGATAGGCATAATCCCATTAAATGACATCTCTGTCTCCCATCCCCAATAGTATAAATTAGAGTGTCCACACAAACCTAGAATCAGAGCACGGAGATCATTATGCTAAATGAAATAAGACAGGCACAGAAAGACAATTACTGCATGATTGCACTTACATGTGGAATCTAAAAATGTTGCTCTCACAGGAGCTGAGAATACAATGGTGGTTACCAGAGGCTGAGGAGAGCAGTGGGAAGGGAAGAAGGGGAAAAAGTTGATCCATGGGTACTAAGTCACAGACAAGAGCAAGACATTCTGGTGTGCTATTTCATAGTAGAATGATCCTAGATAATGATTCTGTACTCAAAAAGCTACAAGAAAGGTTGTGAATGATCTTACCATGCAAAATGATAGATGACTGAGAAGATAAACATGTTTAACCTGATTTAAACATCACTAATGTACACATATATTGAAACATCATGTGGTACCCCACTAATATGTGTGATTTTTGTTTTTATGTATCACTTAAATAAAAATAAATAAAACCCTAGGATCAGAGAAACAGAAATATATTTGTGTTACCTAGGAGATGGTGGTTGTCTAGCGCAGAAGGAAGTATGAGACATGCAGTGGCATGTCCCAATGGGACAGTGTGTGTTTCTGTGTCTTTTTAGGCCATGGACACCATGAGTTGCATGAGTGTCATTCAGAGTCACCCACATGTTGATAGGTGGCCAGTTCCCGATTTCAGGTATGAATTTGTCAAGGCAACATTTCCTAGAATGCTTAAATTCAAGGAAGTGTTTCTATCATTTAAAAAATCCAGAGTAACTCTCAGTATATGCTTTTATATTAATATTCCTTAAAATTAATTTATAGTTTTCCTCCTACAATTTTAGTCTAATTGGACTGTAGGGAAGAGTGTGTGTGTGTATGTGTGTGTGTGTGTGTATGTGTGTGTGTGCACGTGAATAGAACATTATTTATGGAAGAAGATACAATAAACTAAAGAAGAGTAGCTATGTAGGGAGTGAGGCTGATGAAAGAGACTTTATTTTCAGTTCCAAGCCTTTTGTGCTGTCAGACTTGCTTCTTCATCCATGAAATAAGAGATCATATCAGAATGGTCACATGATCCCCTGAGTCCCTTCTCTGAGAATCTATGATTCTACTGAATTGGGGGTATGCTTTGTACTTTCTTTCTCTAATCTCTTTACTTTACTGAATTTAACTCTGTTGATTATATAGAAACACCTCATTTTTCCAGCCTGGCTTGAGAATGAAATTTTCTAAACTGTGAATTCTCTAGGTAAATGAATCTAATCTCTGTTGAGGTTTGGAGTAATTTCTAATGGAATATTTTTAAATTGTATTACATGCCTTCCTGTCCTCTTGTTTAGAGCTTTATTGAGCTATATTTTACACACCATAATGTTCACCTATTAAAAATTCAGTAATCTTTAGTATATTCACAGAAACATGCAACCATCATTTGCTATCTAATTCTGGAACATTTTGATACCTCTATAACAAACTCCATGCTAATGAAGCAGTCACCCCCCGTTATCCACTTCCCCCACCTTCTGGCACCCACTCAATTTTTCTTTATCTGTGGATTTGCCTACTGTAGATATTTTTCATAAGTGGAGTCATATAACATGTTTTTTTTTTGTTGTTGTTGCTGTTGCTCTTATTGTTTCTTCTATTCTCTTAAGCAGAGTACAATCTGTGTACTTACCTTTTCTTGATGATTTAGGCACATGATTGATAGTATACCATGCTCACGATGATCTCAAGAAGTATTTAGACACAGTGCCATTTGCCTCTAGGTTCTATGGCCCATTTGCTGTATGTGACTTTGTCAGGGCTTTTTTGCTGGGGCCATCAGGTGACTTCTTGAATACCTTCTCTTGTGAAACTTAACTCTTATTTTAGTCAACATGTCCTATCTGGTCTCTCTACTTTGCATACTGGGCCCATTAGTACATAAATTAGATGAGGCCTGTGGTCTCGTGCCTTTTCTGGACCCAGGCTCATAATGTAACTCCATTGTGAACTTTTTTGGTTTCTCTCTTTTTTTATTTCCTCATTATTATTATTTATTTCATTATAGCTGAACATATTGATGGGGTTTGTTGTTGCATACTCATACATGCACACAGTATAACAATGTAATTTGGACAATGTCACTCCCCAGCATTTACCCTCCTTCCTCCGTACCTCCCACCTCTTGGTTGTCCCTTTCCTCTAGTGATCTCCCTTTGATTTTTAGGACATCCACCCCCACCTTTGTTTTCCTTTTGCCTCTTTATATTCTGCAAATGAGAGAAAACATATGACACTTAAGCTTCTGAGTTTGACTTATTTCACTTAACATGATGGTCTCTGGTTCCACCTATTTTTCTGCAAGATCCATAATTTTCTTTTTCTTTATGGCCAAATAAAACTCCATTGTGTGTAGGTACCACATTTTCTTTATCCATGCATTCATTGATGGACATTTG